CAAAAGCAGAAGGTACTCAAGGAGGTGGATTGACACAGTGACTGCAACTTTGGGCTCAGTCATTGGAACAGTTGTGAAGACCGGGCAGTGTGTCATTCTGTTGTGCACTGGGCCGCTATTGGTCAGAACCAACTAACTCTATGGCACGTAACAATAATCCTTCGCTTGTCACTTGTAGCACCTACTTTTCAATCCCTGCAACCGCATGGGGTAGCTACTAACATGAGAAGCATCCACATATAAGAAAGCTGAAGATTTAAGTAACTTGCACCAGACCTCTGAACTGACGCAGCAACAGACCTTGCATTGAAACACGCAGGCCTAAGCCTCTCCACTCTTTTTGCTGCTGGCAACTCTGTGGTTTGCAGAAATGCTATGCAGCTGTATCCAGCAAGAGGAAGCCTGGCAAAGTTGTCCCTCTCCCCCACTGGACTGAGGTTGACACTGTTCAGCCCCCACTTCAAGGAAACTAGAGGACATTTCAAAGGACACTCCGTCACTCGCTATTTATTCTGACCCCTCAGTCCTGGTCATCTGGGTGAGGCAAGGTGGAAACTTAAAAGTCAGTCCATTAAAGTCTTGACTGGGACAGGAGTATGCAGTCATGTCCTCCTCATGTCCTTCTCTCCAGAGCCAATGCTGACCCCTCACTCTCCAAAGCAAAGGGCCACAGCCCCCTTCGCCCATGCCACTGAAAGAAGAGACAAGATCGATTTCTAGCAATGATCATTTCAGGCATCATTCTACCCGCTGAGAATTTTTTCTTAGTCTCTTAATGCTGCTATAACAGACAGATCACTATTGGATGTCTTCAAGGAACAACAGCAACAATTATTTGCAGTTTAGGAGGCTTACTGTCATAGTTTTATTCCTTCTAGTCAAATCCAACTCATTTTGACCCAGTGTGACAGAGTTGAGCTGCCCTGTAAGATGCGCTAAGCTGATATCTTTACTGGAGCTGGTGCCTAGGTCTTTTCTGTGGTTTGGCGTGTGGGTTTATATGGCCGACCTTTTAATTAGCAACCACACACTTACCTATTGTACTACCAGGACTCCCTTTTAATACGGCTTAAGTGAAAATTCAGAGCTTTGGTTCAAGGGAAAAGCTCTCACTCTGCCCCAGTTCATACATACATAGGTTGATTCCAGAAAGAACCTGTTTTAACATAACTGTTCCATCCATCAGGGGATACCTGCAGAGAAGTTCTCTCAATAACAAACATCAATAGTGTGTGATTGTTAGGGTTTTTGTTTTCCTTCTTCATTTTATTGGGGCTCTTACAGTTATTATCACAATCTACACATATATCCATTGTGTCAAGCACATTTGTACATTTATTGCCATCATTTTTAAAGCATTTTCTTTCTACTTGAGCCCTTGGTATTCAGCTCCTCATTTTTCTCCCTCCCTCTCCAACCCTCCCTTATGAACCCTTGATAATTTATAAATATTTTTTTCATGTCTTACACTGACTGCTATCTCTCTTCACCCACTTTTGTGTTGTCCGACCCCCTGGGAGGGGGTTATATGTAGTTCATTGTGATCGGTTCCCCCTTTCTCC